ATGTGATTGAAAATGTAACTTGACAAGTTCAAGTATTTGGATTATAATATTGTCAAGACTCCAATAAATGTGAGATTTGTACTTCAAAAGAATGAAGGCAAAAGTGACTCACAATTGGATTGTGCTAGAGTATTGAGAAGTATGATATCATGAAGTGTACGTGATCAAATATAGCATATGCTATTAATAAACTAAGTCGGTTCATGAGTAATCTCAATCAAACTCATTGGATGACAATGAAAAGAGTTTTGGAGTATTTAAAACATACTTAAAAAACTATTGCTTTGCATTATAACTAATATTCAACAGTATTGGAAGAATATAGTGATGCAAATTGAATCACCAGGTCAAATGAAGTAAAATCCACGAGTGAATATGTATTTACTCTTGGTGGAGGAGCAATCTCTTGGAAATCTTCCAAACAGGGATGTATCGCTCGCTCTACTATGAAATCTGAGTTTATCACTCTAGATAAGGCCGGTAAAGAAGTTGAATGACACCAAAATTTCTTGAAAGATTTTTGGCCCAAACCTTTTAGCTCCAGTATGCATACACAGTGAGAGTTAATTTGCAATAGGTAGGGCATGGAACATGATGCATAACGGAAAGTCTCGTCATATATGACGTAGACATAATATCGTTAGAGAACTACTCTCTAGTGGAATTATCATAATTGACTATGTAAAGTCAAAGGATAATGTGTCGGATCCACTTATAAAAGGCCTAACTAGAGAGGGAGTTGATAGATTATCAAAGGGAATGGGACTATGGCAGAGAACAAGTCATTGTGGCGGTAACTCTACCTAGAAGACTGGAGATCCCAAGATCTAGGTTCAAGGAGATCAAACAAAGTCATTGATGACGGTTCAACATTGTCAAAATATTTTTTATGGTCCATTCTCATGATAAGACAATATTCAGTAACAAGGATAAAGGCATTAAGACTTTTTAATGATTTCTAAGTTTGATACATGGTATATCAAATGGTGTATCTACGGAATAACACATTTAGAAATCACCTATGTAAGTGTGAAGTGTAAGCCGCTTCAAGGAGAATCCGGTAAGGCCAGTTCTCTACGTACTTATAAACCGAGACGTGTTCATGGTTGAAACGAACAAAACAATGAGAACCAAAATACAGTTCAAGGGTTGATTGTGTGACTTATGTTGTCTAGGTATACACCAAGCTTGACGATTCAAATATATCAAATCTACCGAGTATATCCGAGATATGTTCACTACGGAAAGTTCAAAGGGAAACCCACTTATCCAGAGGCAATCAATCCTTAATTACGAATCACACAGTTTTTCATGCATATGTTTTAACAATAGTCAATTCCCTATTCATGTGGGGGATTGTTGGGTTTTAAACGGTGTGAACAGGAAATGAAGGGTTGTGACTCTCCTAAAGAGTTGTGACTATGCCGAAGGGTTGTGAACTTTATGAAAGGTTGTGTCCTTTCTAAAGGGTTGTGATCGTTTGAAAGGTTATGCCTTTTCCAAAGTGTTGTGACCTTTCTGAAAGGTTGTCTTCTTTCCAAAGGGTTGTGACTTTTACCCTTTGTTGGCTATAACTAGAGAGGTTTTCTCTCATTTTTTCTGCATCGAATTCTTCCCTTCTTTTGCATACATTTCTTACAAAACAAAATCGATCAATCGTGTCTGTGTGTGTGATTCGTTGTTGTCATTTTGAGTTCGTTGAAATTATCGAAGTTTGAGGTACCGCTACTTCTTTAATGGTTAATCCGTTTTATCTTGGGAGGAATTAATCTGCAACCTCGGGTACTTGAGGGGATTAAATTTCTTAAGGACACACAGTGAATTTTGTGGACTCGAATAGTTCTTTGTGTTTTTCTTTTCATCTTTTATTATTTCTGGTTTGCTAATCTGAATACAGGAGATAACAATAACATGATATTTTACACTGACAATATATATAAGTTATAGTTTTCTTTTTTTGTTCACATGTATAGACAATTCATTCACCAAACAAAATCATTGTTTTTTTACGTGCTTTTACTTTATTTATAAAATACAGATGACACATGCACGAGAAAGTAATAAAACACTACAACAATTTACAATCATGAAAAAAACAAAAAGGCCAGAAATAAACGTGCAAAAGAAAACGTTTAGTTTAAAATCTTTACAAAGAAAAATAATAAATTTTTTTAGACCTGATCGTCACATAAAATGATATTACTTTTCGTTTTATATTAGTTGTCTACATTTTTTATTACTCGCTTTTTAATAAATTAATTACGAATAAAAAATAGCTTTACTAATTTACCCTTTTAATTTATTTTTTTTGAAAATTTACAAACTTATTTACACGGTCAAAAAGAATTAATCGTAAGCGTGAAATGAAAAAAAAAGTTAATTGATTTTATCTTTTGTACATTGACAAGTAATTAATATGGGACATAATATCAAAAAAGAGTGGAAAGAAGGAGAAAATCGAAGAAAAATTACTAAATATGACTAGCATGTAATTAATACTTCCGTTTTAATTTAAATATATTAATTTAATTGGTCACGATTTTTTGATTTTATTGTCTTAAATTATAGAGTTATGTCATTCGTTCAATCCAAGATCTTAAATTTATTGAGTAGAATATTAGAATTAGAAAATTTACAAGACGAAAAAAGACGTTGTCACTTAAATTGAAACGGAAGGAGTATACCATTTCGCTACTCCATTTGTTTTCTGTCGTTGAGTGCCTTGATTAGCATTTTGAGAACTGTTTTTGGTTAAATGTTAGAATTAGTTCTTCATTTATCTTTCTTTCTCTTTTTTAATTAAAAAAAAAAAGACATGTTTGATTTTAGATGATAGAAGGCTTTGCTTTTATAAGCAGAACATATTTTATTTTTAGTTTTATTTTCAAATTTGAGATATCATCAATATGTCACATGTGGTCTTTTCTACTTGATAAATGATCATTTAACCCCGTTTTATCTGATATTTATATTTTCTAATTTTGAATATATATGAATAGATATTTAATTTATATAAAATTAAACAAGTAAATATATCTATTCTATTTAGATATTCTACGTGACAATTCGCGTCCTACATAGTATCTTATATGACGTCCTACATATATTTTCCCCTTCTACCACCGAGAAATGTTTATATATATTCAAGTTTTGGGAATAGAGTCTTCCTTAATAGAGATAAATTTGAAATTTAAGTTTTATAGGTTAAATATTTATGTAGTTTTGTATGTATTAGAGAAAACTAACTTTGTACATATGGTTGCATGTAGAATGGATAAGATAGGAATTTGTGACCCGATGTCAATGAAAAATTCATTTTCGAATAGAGTATAAGGATAAAATGATTTATGTGTTAGATATATCCATACGAAATCCTGAAAATTGTTGAAGAATATTAATTGGCATGCATAAACATAATCTCAAGTGTAGTATTTCCATTGGTGTTTTTTCATTATCTGCTATGTTCTGCTCATTACTGCCATAGTGAACTTTTTACGGCACGAAACCAACTAACAAATGAATTTTGACACGAAATTGTTAACTAAAAGAAAAAGGGGTGGGGGAAAAAAAAATAGGGAAAATGGTTTGATATACCCTTTAACTTTGTTATTTAGAGCTGATATATCCTTCGTTATAAAAGTGGCTTATGTATACCCCTATTGTTATACAAATGACTCACATATACCATTTTCCTCTAACGGAAGTGCAAAAAATTATTTTTAGTTTAATTTTTTTTTTTTTTTAAATATTATCCCATATGGGTATATTTAATCCTCCTCAAACATATATTATTTTTTTAGCTTTTTTTTTTCTTTCAATGACTAATTTAGATTTATTATTTTGATGGTCAAATTTATTAGTTTTGCTAATATTCTTGTAAAATTTATTATAGATGACCCGATTTTTTCTTCAAATACAAAATTAAATTACAATATATCCAAAAAATAGTTTTAAATTATAATATAGCCACAAATAATAGTTTTAAATTTTTTTCTTTACACTAAGGAATGAAAGAAAAATAAAATAAGAATAAGAAACTCAAATAATGATAATCAAGAAGTCAAAAATAATTTATGTCCAAGAAAAATTAAAATATACCTTGAAATTTGCTAGAAAAATCATATATACCCCTAAATAAAATTTTTTTAAAATCAAAACTCAAAAATATAATTTTAAAACTAATTTTTTCACTTTCGTTAAATGAAGGGTATATGTGACTCATTTTATAACAGTAGGGGTATATGTGAGCCGTTTGTATAACGGTAAGAGTATATATGAGGCACTTTCATAACGAGGGGCATATCAGCTCCAAATGACAAAGTTGAGGGGTATATCAAACCCTTTTCCCAAAAAAATATGTTCTTTTTCTTTTTTTATCTTTTTTGGCGTATTAACCTGAGAGACTCCAGTAAGTTGCACCTTCGTACTTATGACTTTGCCAACTGAACCCTTAAACTCATTGAAGCACAATATTTTAAATCTCTTTCTCATCCGATGAGTTTGTGTAGTGCACTCGTTTTACACGTGGAATTCATTGAGTTTAACTGTTCATTTGGCAGCAGTGATGAATATAAGGGTTCAACTGACAAACGGAGCCGAGTACCGAAACATCTCATGTCATTCCGTTTTTTTTTTTCCATTTGTAACTTCCTATTTGAAACTATAAAACAGTTATTACTATCACATAAGTATAAGTACTCCTTTATTCTTAACAAGAGGTTTTTTGAGCTCGAATCTCGAATACAGAGTCATTTTTATTACGGAGTGCTTTATATTTAATATGAATTTTTCAGCGTGAATCCAAATATAATCAGACTTTAACATGGATAGTGGACACATAAACGGTTTTCATTTGACAGAAGAGTGTACTGTGACCCAACTGATAGGGAAGATAAGGACAAGAAAAGGGTGTCTTTTAGCAGTAACTGCCCTTCCTCTGGGCTCTGGTCCTATATATAAACCCTTCACTATGACTCAATTTCATAAAGAAACATCTCTTATTTTCAAATTCATGTTCATTTTTCTCCTTTGGGTATTCAATTTTTTGAAATTCTTGGAGAGTTTTGTAAGTTTCTTCACTTGGGTTTTCTTCAAAACACAGTCTTTTTCATCTCTCAATCAAAGAAATTGCTCTGAACTACTACTCTGTACTGCAAAAGTGAAGAAGGCATGGGTGTTGTTCATACTCTGCATTTTGTTTTTGGGATATTTGGTGGGTTTTCACTCTTCTTCAAGATTTTTCATTTTCTGTAATCACATTCTTAGTTTCATCTTCTCTGTTTTGCAGGAAATGCCACTGCTCTGTTTCTGTTCTTGGCACCAATGTGAGAGCTTTTTTCAACAACTCTTTACATTTCTTAAAAATGGATTCTTTATTTTCTTGGTTTTCATACTTTAAAGCTTTTGTTTGAGAAAAAAGGGGGTTTTTTCTCCATGAATCTGTTATTCAACTTTCTAACATTTTGGATATCTTCTTTTAGAATCACATTCAAGAGGGTTATTCAAAATCGATCCACTGAACAATTTTCTGGCTTGCCTTATGTTATGACTTTACTCAACTGCCTGCTTTCTGCATGGTAAGATTAAATAACATTGTTGTATTTATCTATCAAGTTCTTGCAGGTTTAACATTTGTATTATGCTTTCTGTTATCCTTTTCAGTTCCAATTAATGATACTGTTTTGTTAATTTTGTGGTAAATTATAGTCATTTCAAGAATCTTGCTTACATGATGTTAAAAATTGTTCAACTCCTCAAATCTTGGGATTTGGTTATCTGTTTTTAGAGATTGAGATTTTTGGTCTGTGTTGCTTGGACGTCTCCAGTGTCAGATCCTCCAAAAATGTGCTACTTTTAAAGGATCTGATACGCACTCGTGACATTTTTCGAGAGTTGAAGAAACATAGTTTTTGGTTCATGTTAGCAGTGTACATTATCTCATTTTGATTTTGTAGTAGAAGTGATACATGTTTTCTTGAACTGGTTTGTTTTTGTGTATCAAATTGGATAGGTATGGTTTACCATTTGTGTCACCAAATAATCTGTTGGTGTCTACAATCAATGGGACTGGAGCTGTAATTGAGACCATTTATGTGCTGATCTTCATTGCATTTGCACCAAGTAAAGAGAAGAAGAAAATCTCAGCACTTCTTCTATTAGTCCTTACTGTTTTTGCTGCTGTAGCCCTTGTTTCCATGCTCGCTTTACATGGAAGCAAAAGGAAGCTCTTTTGTGGTATCGCTGCCACGATCTTCTCTATCATTATGTATGGATCTCCTCTATCCATCATAGTAAGTTCCTTAACATCATTTCGTACTCTTTCTCGAGCAGTTATTTATTGTATATTGTTAGTTCTCTTGACTATACTTCATTGTCCCAACTTTGGATGGAGAGTTGGGATGAGTTGTGCTATTAGATGTTCAATTTTAACATAAGGGGTTATTCCTTCTTACGTTGGAAATGTTTGATAGTAGCATATACTCAAGAACAATTTTTATGTATACAGAGATTGGTAATCAAGACGAAGAGTGTGGAGTTCATGCCATTTTTCTTGTCGTTGTTCGTGTTCTTATGTGGCGCTTCCTGGTTTGCCTTTGGCCTTCTTGGGAAGGACCCTTTTGTTGCTGTAAGTAGCTATTGTTGATTAACTTTTGAGTATACCAAAATATGGATGTTGCTGCCTACTAAACAAGAATATACTGTTGCATTGCAGATTCCAAATGGTTTTGGCTTTGGTTTAGGAACAGTGCAACTTATCTTATATGCAATCTACTGTGAGAAGAAGGGATTTACCAAGAAATCAACCTTTGATGAGTCGTTGACGACGGGAAATGTCAAGTCTCACCAAGAGGAGAAGCAATCTAGCAACAATAACAAGTCAAAGCTTGAGCAAGTTTAGGATATGATTGCAGTTGGGGATGACTCTAATTCTTGAATGATGTTGTGAAATGCGTGCATCTTTTTTAGGTGCTTGTGATTTGCTATAGTGATCTTTGACATCTGTTTTAGTATTGGACTAGTTCATATATTTGGATTGTACTTTTTCATCATCTTTGTTGCTGAAATAAACCATGATCCTTCTTTTAGTTCTTTGTTTTCTTCTAATGAATGCCTTACTATTTGGAGACTCTTGTAAGTTGAAACTAGGATCCCTTCCCCCCTCCCCCGGCATTGTTCTTTGGAAGATCTATCTCGTGTCTGGTAGTATACGGTTTTACCCTGCAAGAATCCCGAATCATTCTCTTGAAGCTCATCCTTGTAATCATAAATGATCCGCTTGTCCCGAAATGACTTGGACCAATAAAGAGAAGAGGATGGGAGGACTAATTTTGATGGACAAGTGAGTCTATGAATGCTGATTGACATATTAAGATACCAGAGGCCCAGAGTTAATATTAACATACTGGGCTTGAAAAGTTTTTTAGAGGTCCACTTGTTTTTGTAAAAATATCATCAGGTTGAATTAATTATAATAACAAGAATATCATAGCTTATTAACATCACTTGGATCACTCAAGCCTCATTTTAAAAAAATAAAATAGATTAAGATGTTTTAATATGTATATTTGATACTAAGATATGCATTAAAGTTAAGTAACAAAATAATTGGCCGAAAATATATCTGACACCGAAAAATAACACTCTTTTGTATCATATTATCCATAAGTAACAAACATTATTTTTGCTGCGTAAGTTTATGTGTTTGTATCATAATATCACACAAGTTATATATACATTGGGAGGAAAGTTCCCACAAGTTATAATGTATATCCAGAAGGTAAAATATATTTCCAAATTAAAAATAAAAAGATAACACACAGACTTACATGTATACTCTATCCTCACATCCTTGTTTTTTAGTATAGGGGTGGATTCAAAATTTAAAGTTTATAAAATTTTATTAGTTTTATTTTTTTCTTTATTTTAAATATCTAAGGAGAATTGAACACTCATCAAAATCATGAGCATCAAAATTTAAGTGTGTCCAAAGAATAGTAATTTTGTCTACTGATCTAGTAATTAACTTCCATACATTCACAACCTTTCTCGTGATCTTCATAATAACTTTTATGGTTAATGTCATGTTTATGACAATCTTTTGTATGCCTCTATGGCTCTATGTAACAGTATAAAGAGAGACATAAAAGTTCATATCGGATACAATTGAACGCAATTGAAAGAATTAAAATTATCCTCTATTGTCTCTCTATCTTTATTGCTTTCAATATTTACTATATATTTTATTTTTTCTCATTTTATAACTAATTCAATATTTTTCTTTTCTTAATTTGTTGTTAAAAGCTCATAAAAGAAGTAGATAAAGTAGTTGCACCACAGGACAAAAAAACAATGAAAGAAGAAAAATTCAAATTGATTTGATTTAATAATTTAAAAATTAATTAAATCATTTTTTTTATTTTAATTAAATATCGACCCATAAACGCTCATATTTATAGTAGTCATTTTTTTCTACTATTTATATTTATTCAAAGTCAAATTTATGCTTTTTTGATGCAGATTTTATGAATCTTGGCAGTATAGAAGTATAAAATATTGGATCATCAAACTTGTGTCATTTGTATACAGGTGGGATTAAAGACCTCAATGTTACTTCCTGAAAAAGAACTAAATAGGATAGCTGATGAATGGAATGTCCATATCGATAAATTAATGAAAATTTTGATTTCTTTTATTTTGTCTTCTGTTATATTTCTTATCATAAGCACGCATTTTGCACGTACTACATCAATATTTTTTTAAAAGCCTATAAATATGAAACTTTTAGTTATATCTATATTCTTAGAATGCACGTCCCTGACAGACATGTTTTGCTTCTATAACTTATTGTTTAATCATGTTTTAACTTTTTATTGTATTACATTTAATTTGTAAATAAGTACACATTTGTGACTTTCTTAATTGAAGTTTTAATGTGGCTTTCACTTTCTTCTTGAAGTCTATTTATATAGTATTATTTACTTAAAATGTGTAAACTTCAGCTACCATGGATTACTCCATGGATTTAGAGCTGGAACAGTGCAGAAGCTTTTAGAGAAATCAGTTTAGAGAAGAAGAGGAAAGCTTTGTATTACACTGAAAGTTGTATTTACAACAATGATGTACACGTCTATTTATACATTAGTTTCTAACCAACTAATTACTGCTCTACTTACTATCATGACTAACTAACACTAACTAATTATAAGTTAGTTATAACATCCTAACTAACTGCCATGTCACTAGCCTCAATACTCCCCTCAAGCTGGATGCCAAGAATACATTCTTCAGACCAAGCTTGACAAGTAAATGACCAAGTTGAGCCTTTCCCAACCCTTTGGTAAACAAATCAGATGGCTGTTCTTTTGTTCCTATGTGATGAGTCTTGATCAGTCCTTGTTATAGTTTTTCCCTCACAAAATGACAATTAATGTCAATGTGCTTAGTTCGTTCGTGAAATATTGGACTTGCTGCTATTTGTATAGCAGCCTTGCTATCACAATGCAAATCAATAGGTTGTACAATTGAAACTCCTAGTTCCTTGAGCAGGTCTGTTAACCAAGAAAGTTCTGCCACTGTAGATGCCATGCTCCTAAATTCAGCTTCAGCTGAGCTCCTTGAGATTGTTTCTTGCTTCTTTGACTTCCATGAAATCAAGGAAGATCCAAACTTGATCATATAGCTTGTGATTGATTTTCTGGATTGGGGACAGACAGCCCAGTCTGAGTCACAATAGGCAAATAATTGATAAGATGTAGTTGAAGACTTAAACAAACCAAGGCCTGGAGCATTCTTGATATATCTAATCACCCTGATAGCAGCAAGCATGTGAGATTCTTTTGGTTTGTGCATGAATTGACTCAGAACCTGCACTGTGTAAGCAATGTCAGGTCTGGTCATAATGAGATATAGCAGCCTTCCCACTAGTCTTTGGTACCTCTCTGGATCAATCAGTAACTTATCATTTGTTGTAATTCATGTGGCTACATCAAACTCATAGGAAGTAAGTTTTTGATGGAAGTCCAGTGGAGTTGAAGCAGGTTTAGCTCTCCCTTGCCCTGAATCTGCAATTAATTCAAGGGCATATTTTCTCTAATTCAACAAAATACCAGAGGGATTACGGGAGAATTCAAGGCCAAGAAAAAATCTCAAGTCACCAAGATCCTTCATCTTAAACTTTTTCTGAAGGTTGGATTTGGTAGATTGAATGAGTGTAAGGTTTGAACCAGTAAGCATAAGATCATCCACATAGACCAAAACAACAACCACATCAAAACCAACAGTAAGTGTGAACAAAGAGTAGTCAAAATGACTCTGAACAAACCCCAAATCCTGCAAAGCTGCAGTGAGCTTCAGGTTCCATTGCCTGTAAGCCTGTTTCAATCCATATAAAGATTTCTTTAGCTTGCAAACCTTGTGATGAGAACCTTTAAGAAAGCCTGAAGGAATCTGCATATAAACTTCATCAACCAAATCACCTTGAAGGAAGGCACTGTACCCATCCATTTGATAGATATGCCAATGTTTAGAGGCAGCAACAGCTAGGACAGACCAGACAGTCACCATCTTAGCAACTGGGGAGAAGGTTTCTTGGTAATCAAGACCCTCCTTTTGGCTAAATCCCTTGGCAACTAACCTTGCCTTGAACCTTTCAATCTGACCGTCAGCTTTATACTTGATTTTAAACATCCATTTGCAACCCACATCATTCTTTCCTGGAGGAAGATCGACAATGTCCCAGGTACCATTTTCTTCAAGAGCAACAATCTCTTGTTTCATGGCAAGAACCCATCTGTCATCTTGAACAGCCTCATGATAGGTCTTAGGTTCATTTTCAGAGGTGTGAGTAGCTAGGCAGGTGGCATACTCAGGAGATATTAGAGCATAACTCAGGTAGTCAGACATAGGATAGATACAAGAGTGAACCACATATTCATTAAACTACTTGGGTGTAGACTTAGGTCGATGTAATCTTCTTAGTTGAGCCTCAGGCACAACAACTACTAGATGGTCTGCATGTACTGGTGTAGTAGGAGGAGGAACAACATGTACATGGACCATAGGGTCTATTAGAACATCATCAGCAAAGTCCATGACAGGAAATATAAGATCATTACTAGGAATCATCTGTTTAAAGGGATACACAGATTCATGAAAACAACATCCCTGCTAAAAAAGAACCTTTTAGAATGCAAATCATATAGTTTATAACCCTTCTTAGTGGCTGAATAACCCATAAACACAGTAGGAAGTGCTCTGGCAACAAACTTATCCCTCCTCTGGACATTTACTGCATATGCTAAACATCCAAAAATCCTAAGATAATCAAGAGGTGGGCAAGTGTGATAAAACAACTCAAAAGGGGATTTATTCCTTAGCACAGATGAAGGAAGCCTGTTGATAATATGCACTGTTGTAAACACACAGTCACCCCAAAAATGTAGAGGTATGGCAGCCTCAAACCTGAGGGCCCTAGCTAATTCAAGTATGTATCTATGTCTTCGCTCCACCACTCCATTATGTTGTGGAGTATAGACACATGTAGTTTGATAAACAGTCCCTTGTGCAATAAGAAAATTATGCATAGAGGAGTTAAGAAACTCTGAGCCATTATCAGTTCTAAGAACCTTGATTTTAGAATTGTACTGAGTGTGAATTATTGAAAAGAAAGTTTTGAGCATAAAAAAAGCTTCATCATTTGAATTCATCAAAAACAACCAAGTAAGTCTGGAGAAATCATCCACAACTGTTAGAAAGAATCTTTTTTCATCAGTAGTTGTCATTCTATATGGCCCCCATACATCAACATGTATCAAATCAAACACAACTTTAGAATGAGTAGTACTAAGAGGAAAGAGTAACTTGGTTTGTCTAGCTAAAGGACATACATGACATAAACCACAAGACTTATCTAGGCTACTATGTAGAAACTTGTCCATATTTTGTAAGGCTGCAAAAGGCATATGTCCAAGTCTTCTATGCCAAATGCCGAGTGTAGCAGTGTCTTTGACAGTAGTTTGAGCTTTAGGAAAGATTGAAGTGAAGGAGTGTAGTGACTTAGCAACATCACCAAACAAATAAAGTCCAC